AGAGCTGTGATGAACATGGGAGTGCAGGTATCTCTTCGACATGATGATTTCCATTCCTCTGTATATATGTCCAGAAGTGAGATTGCAGGATCGTGTGGTAGTTCTGTCTGCAGTTATTTGAGAAAGCTCCATGCTTTTTTTTGTAATGGCTTTACCATGTTACAGTCCCACCAACAGTGTAGTAGAGTTCTTCTTTCTCCACATCCTCATCAGTATTTGTTATTCTTGGTCTTTGTAATAATTGCCAATCTAACTGAGGTGAGATGATATCTCAGTATGGTTTTGATTTGCATTTCCTGGATGATTAATTATGTTGAACATTTTTTCATGTACCTCTTGGCCATTTGTGTGTCCTCCTTTAAAAAATGTCTGTTCATCTCCTTTGCCCATTTTTTAATTGGATTATTTGATTTTTTACTGTGAAGTTGTTTGATTTCCTTGTATATTCTGGATATTAATCCCATGTTGGATGTATAGTTCATAAATATTTTCTTCCACTCTGTAGGTTGTCTTTTGGCTCTGTTGGCTGTTTCCTTTGCTGTGCAGGAGCTTTTTAGTTTGGTATACTCCCATTTGTTTATTTTTTCTTCTGTTGCTTATGCTTTTGGAGTCTTACTCATAAAGTCTTTGCCTACTTCTGAAGTATTTCCCTTATGTTTTCTTTTAGTAACTTTATGGTTGCAGGTCTCATACTTAAGTCTTTAATCCATTTTGAGTTGATTTTGGTGTATGGTGAGAAGTACAGATCTAGTTTAATTCTTTTGCATATAAATGTCCAATTTTCCCAGCACCATTTATTGAAGAGGCAGTCTTTTCCCCAATGCATGTTCTTGTTGCTCAGGCAGTGTTATGCCTATGGCCTAATTTTGTTTGCTCAGGATTGCTTTGGCTATTTGGGGTCTTTTGTTGTTCCATATGAATGTTAGGATTGTTTTTTTCTATTTCTATGAAGAATGTCACTGGTATTTTGATGGGGATTGCATTGAATCTGTAGATCGCTTTGGGTAGTATGGACATTTTCATGATGTTAATTCTTCCAATCCAAGAGCATGGGATGTCTTTCCATCTTTTTATGTCATCTTTAATTTCTTTCAGTAGTGGTTTTTATTTTTTTAAAAAATTTTTTTAATTTATTTTTATTTTTATTTTTTGAGACCGGCCGCACCGTGCTCAGTCAGTGAGCGCACCGGCCATCCCTATATAGGATCCGAACCCGCGGCGGGAATGCTGCTGCGCTCCCAGTGCCGCACTCTCCCGAGTGTGCCACGGGCTCGGCCCTGTAGTTTTGTTGAGCCTTGGTATGTATATTAGTTTCCTATTGCTGCTGTAACAAATTACTGCAAACTCAGTGGCTTAAAACACCACAAATTTATTATTTTATAGTTCTGAAGATCACAAGTATGAAATGGGGTTCAGTGGGCCAAAATCAAGGTGTCAGCAGGCCTGCTTTCCTTCTGGAGGCTCCAGAGAAGAATCCATTCCCTTCCCTTTTCCAGCTGCTAGAAGCCATCTGCCTTGTGGCCCCTTCCTTCATCTTCAAAGCCAAAATTGTAGTATCCTCCAATCTTTCTCTGACTCTGGCCCTCCTGTCTCTTTCTTATAAGTATCCTTGTGATTACATTAGGCCCATCTGGGTAACCCAGGATAATCTCCTCATTTCAAGATCCTGAACTTAATCACATCTGCAAAGTGTATTTTGCCATGTAAGGTAACATATTCATGGAAAACTGTAGACTAGGGAAGGCACTGAAATCTGTAGGAGGCCATTATTCCACCTACCACAGTATGATACAAACAAAAGGCTTGTGTACTGTCATCATACATTTCTTCCATAAGTTATTTTTCTCTCTCAAAGTACTGTCCTTTAGTTGATATAGTTCCATAACATCCTTTTAGTCCTTTTAGATTCATGCTTCATACCTGGTGACCTAGTTCAGATGGCAAAAATATTGTGATGGAGCCTTTTTTCTTTGACCATGAGGTTTGCACAGACCATTCTTGTATGGGAGATGGAAAGGAAAGTAGTGATCTTCTATATGTGAATAATCTTTTATATGCCAAGAACTGGGCTGGGCACTTCATGTAAATTGTCCTATTTGATCCTCACAGCAAACTTCTGAACTCTTCATATTTCTCATGAGTATCAGAGATATTAAATAGCTTGCCTAAGGTCACAAACTTACAAGCATCCTATCTGCAATTAGAGCTTAGTTTGTCTCTTTTATTTTATTTTTTCCTAGCAGTCAAGGTCATACATGATTACAGTATTAATGTGGAAATATAGAAAATTATAAAGCCACAAAACAGTAACCCATTTCTCTGCATTTTATGTTTTACACTATTTTAAAATTTTTGTTTTCAAACTTATGCTTTTCCTATAACATGAACAACTCTCTTTATGAGCCCTAATTTTAATTGCTTTATAATATTGCAAGATGACTACTCTCTTTCCACCATACTATTATGCCATTCCAAGTTGTACCATCTTGAGGATATAGAATTCATATAGTTGAGTAGAAATATGTGATTCAGTGCACCAGTGAGTAAATGCTGACTGGATGAAGGGATTAGAGAAGGGAAATGTTGTTATAAATTGACTCACTTGAGTAATTTCTAGTGACAGAGTTGGGGCTTGGAAGAAAATCTTGCAAGGACACAAGATCTACTCAACTGAGAGAGAAAGCAAGAAATTATGGCCTTTTCCAGCCAGTCAAGATATAGTTTAAAGTATTTCCTCTGTGTGTGTG